ATTAGTTAATAAGGTGTAAAGTTCTTAGAACAGTGCCGGGCACATGGTAAGCGCTGTGTAAGTGAGTTATTTTTTACCCACCTACCCCCATGTTCTCCATATTCTTTGAAAGATTTTGTTCTCATATGACAAGTGAAAGAAATAATTAGGATCCAGCCAGGATCCAGTCAGGAGGCGGAAACCACACCAGTACTTTGAACAGGGAAAAATCAACATGAAGAACTGTTAACAACCAGTTAACGGGGACTACCTACTAAGAGGGGTCAACGGGACTCTAAGGGACACAGGAATAACGGATAAAGGGAGCAGCCACTACCTCCAGAGATGACACAGAAAACCCACGGAAGGATAAGCTTGGAAAGGGCCCTCGCTCCCTGCCACAGCTGAGGCTCAGAACTCACGGGTGGGGGCGTGGTGGGAGAAGTTTGCTGAGGAGCTGCAGGCTGGGGCTGGCGAGCAGGAAACGGTGATGGCCGAGTCTGACCGGAAGCCGCCCGCCGGCAGCTGTGCAGTAGAAGCCGGAAGAAAAGCCCTGGCAAGAGGGAGAGAAGGCCCTTCAGTGTTCTGCGGACGCCTACCCCTGACGCGGCGCGAGCGTGGTGCTGGCTGGCACGATCGCAGGGCAGGGCAGAGACGGTGTAGTTGGAGCTGAAGAAGCACCAAGTTCACAACAGGCGCACACCCCCTCAACGTCCTCATAATTAAACGACGTTTAACTGGGAGTGGTTCCTGTTTATGTTTCAGGTACTGATAGCGGTACGAAGGGGGCTGTGGTTAGGGCAGTCCCGTGCTCCCGGCGGTCCGCTGTAGTCACTAGTCATGCCCGTTGAGCCCGTATTATTACAGCCACCCACCCCTACGCCCCTCGCTCTCAGAAATGTCCCTGTTGGGAGGATGAAGTGTGTGGTCACGTGGACGATAGTATTCCCACGGATAGTGGCCAGAGACACAATAAATACACACAAACAAACCTGCCTGAAGACAGCCCAGGTGTGGAGAGGCCACAAGATTCAGGGAGAAGACAAGGGCACTGAGGTGAGCGCGGCAGCCTGATTCCCCCTTGAAGCGCTGGCCGGTTTGGAGGTGGCAGAAACTAAGAGGCTGAAAAGCCGAACCAAAAGCAATAGTTCTCAAGGGTAATATGTGATTTTAAAAATGTACATCTGAGTCTGTCTAAAAGAGCTCTTTTAATAAGCATAAAGTAAGTCTGACATGCAAGCACAGTGTCATTGTTAAAATGGCAGCATCTTTCTTATCGCTACGTAAAGTAATGGCACATTTTACAGGTTATGGCAACTTAGGTTTGATGAAAGACAGTCTATTTGTTCCTACGGTATACTTGTTCCCACGTACAGTGTCTCTATAGGAGAGATTCCTAGAAGTGGAACTGCTGGGTCAAAGGTCATATATTTGATAGATTCTACTAAACTGACTTAAAAACAAACAAACAAACAAAAACCCTGAACAGTGTCCATTTCCTCACACTCTCCTCAACACTGAACGTTACCAATCTTTAAGACTTTTTCTCCTCTGACAGGCTCTCACCATGTCCTCATTTCAGCTTCAGTCCAGAGTGAAGGGAATCTGTGATTCCCAAAGTATCATCATGTTCCACTCCTATGTGTAATTGGTTCAAATCTGCATCATACTTTCCTAGAGTTTGGGCCTTAAGACCTACGCATCTGTCTCCTCCTAAGGGAAAATAAAGGGTCATTTCTCCACGTGGTGCTGGTGAGGATCATGGACTATTAGGATAGGAAGGGATCTTAGACACTGCCAAATCCTAGGAGTTCTGAAAGACATTCAAGACGGTCTTCACTGTTACAGGTGGCAGAGTATCTTTTCAATTTCTACTTAGAAAAGTAATAATTAAAATAATTATTCAGACAACCTCTTGCCCCATCAACATGCAATCACTTGGGGAGCGTCTCAGTGCCTGTTGACAAGCACCTGCAGTGGTCCCTGCATACAAGAAGTGTGCATATGACTCAGCTGAAGAGGTGGGTTGTAGGTGACTTGTGACTCCTCTACAGCAACTTTTAAAAGTCATATACTGCTTCATATATAACCATAATGGAACGCTGGCTAAACACATAAAAAGTTTGCTGAAATAAAGTAAAAGAAGACCATATACTGAAAATTCTACAAATTTGGTTCAAGATGATATTCATTTACTAAATGTGCAAATTGCATTCTGCTAATAAAAATATCTTGTATGTCAGAAACAAAAGCCCAAAAGAGAAAATATACTGATCATTATATCCAATTTGGTCTTTCGTTATTAGGGATGAAGACCAACCATACCCGCTTCATGTTATTTGCAGAATGGTGCTTACATATAGCAGCCAGAACCCTTCTGTTTTAGCTCATCATTTAGACACAAAACCATGAAAGGAATAAAAATAAACCAGTTTTTAAAGTGCAAAAAGCACAAATTCTAAACATTCGCTTAGGAAAGCAGTTTGTGTCTATTTTTGATGCTACAATGAGTCATTAAATTTCATACATTTTAATATACATTTGTCCTAAGACCAATATGATATATGTTCTTTTAAAAGTTATTGTTAACAAAGCGTGCTTTTCCCTTACATAATTAAAGTAAATTAAACATTTTGCATTACATGGTAAATGGAAGAAGGTGGAGACTAGTCTTATTACAGTATGGGTATTACTCAAGATTATTTTAACATTATACATATATCTAAAATAGGTTTTATTTTAAAAATCACTTCTTTATTACACATCACACAAATTATTAAATGCTTAAATAATTGCAAGTTGTTATCAAGAGTATACATGGTAAAAGGCATTCTCCAGTTAAGCTAGGAAGCTCTTATCTGGTCTAGATCCCTCAGTTTATAAATGGGGAAACCGAGGCCCAGAAAGGGTAAGAGATTTACTTAAGGTCACAGAGCCAGGGAGGGCCTCAGACTCGCTCTTAGTTCTTTGCTCTTCAGGGTGAGTGTGTATGAGGTTAAGTGATTTGAAGGTCTCAGTATACTTGTTCTTGCTGAAAAATCTCTCTGGTGGCAGAGATTCTGACACTGCCCCCTCTAGGTTCAACATTGCCCTCACTCCTCCCTTAGAGCTCCAATTTCCTTGGGGACTAAGCTATTTTAGTTCCCAAAGGCTGTATCAGGTGCTGCCTTCCCTTCCCATGCAACCAGGGTCAGTCAGTATCTGCTGAACCAATACTGTTAAGGAGTAAGTCCATGAAAGCGGAGAGTGGGAAGGGAAGCTGGACCACCAGGGGCCTTTTTTTTTTTTTTTTTTCAGGGGCCATTTTTGCTGCTTATAGTTCACCAGGCAGATTCTACCTGAGGGATTCAGGAGGGAGAAAGAGCAGACTCGGCAGATGCTACTGGATTTGAGAAGACGCTGTGTATGAGTCTCCAACTTACTTTCTTGTCTTTCAGGAAATTAACCCCTTTCAATTTAGGGGGAAAAATTATTCCCACCTGGGGGCAAATCATGCATTTACTTTTAGAACTTGTTCCATCTTTTGGGAGGGACTTATTTCAAAGGCTCTGCTGCCCTTGATTTACCAAGGACTTGCCAAAGCATGCTCCGAGGAGCCCTAATCCTGGCGTGTTGTAAACAGCTCTGCATCCCACCATCTGCCTAGTACCTGATGGGATCTTGCAAGGGTGTTGACCATCCCCCTTCTGAGCTCTTGCTCTGGATGTGTGTCTCTCACAGTTTACAAACCACCAAGAGAGGCTCGCCTATCTCCTTTCTCTGGGTGCACAACCCAGTCTGTACAAAGCAATGAGCTTCCTGGAAACACCACCTTCAGGAGGCCTCTGCCTTAAACAGAACCTGTGCTTGTCTCATCATCTCCCTGATCTCTCGAATCTCTTCTGCTCCAGTTTCAAGGCTCTTCTACAATCGTACTCTCGACCTCATCACCCGAACACAACCTGTTAATGTGGGTTAGTCACCATCAAGGTGACTATGCATGATCTTTATTCTGCCCCCGTCACTTGCTCATGCTGGTTCCGAAATCTATCGACATGGTGCTCTGTTGTTTGCTCTTCTGGCTCTCCCAGGAAAGCAGAGGTCACCGGAACAGGGTGACCAACATGCCAACAGAGGCCCAGGAGACAATCGACTGATGCAACGCCAGAGGAAGAGGGGGAGGGGGGAGGGGGGCATTTTGTGGAGGAGGCTGCAGCTACCCTCCCAGAGGGATGCAGGTTCCTAGCAGTTATCAGTCAAGGGCGGTAGGCACAGTGCCTAGAGCCCCCCAAATGTTTACATTTTAATTTTTTTTTGAAATCAGAAATAAAGATAATAATGAATGTAACAATAAATCCAGCCTGGATTATATTTGTGGTTTGTAGTAGCAAAATATAATTTAAAAAAATTTTTGTTGTTTTGATGGACAAAGGGGCCACGAAGACAAAAGTGTGTAAGGCACAGGACAGTCAGAATTCGGCCCTGGGTACGGTTTACACTTTCTGGTTTTAAAAAAAGGAAATGGATATCCAGATATTTGTAGGGGACCTCTTGTTTTTAAATATTGGGAACTCGCTTTAAAATTAAACAAAACATACACGTCGTGACCCAACAAAGCACGTGGAGCTTAGCTTGCACCCTCTTGAAGGCCTGGGCTATCACCGTGTCCCCAGAATGCCCGTGGTTGGACACGATCCGAGCACCCCGCTCAGGATGTAAGAAGGGGCAGCAGAAAGCCTTCGGGGCAGGACAAGGGTCTGACGGTTAAATCTCTGCCCGGTCCGGTCTTGGAAGCTCGGTCGCCACTCCGGCCCAGGCGCTCCCTGGCTGCCCCACCGGCAGGCGCGGGCTTTGCTCATTCACGGGTTTTCCCGCTCCTGCCGACTTCCAGGGCGGCGCGGGGGGTAGCGGGGTGGGCTCCTCCAGCTCACCGGTCACGCGGGGGCGCGGGTCAGAGGCGACAGTCCAGGGCATCTCCCCGCTCGGCCCCACCCCTCGCAACAAGGCCCGCCCGCCGACCGCAGCCCGGTTCCCGGACTAGGCCTGCTTCTCGCGGGGCCTGCTCCTGGGAGGCGAAACTCCACACTGAGGGCGCGGAGGCGGTTTCAGACCGCAGCGCCCGGGCTCCTCCTCCCGCGCTACCCAGGGAGGCGGGCTGTGCTCTTTTCAAGGTCCCGCCAAAGGGCCCCGCCCTCCCGGAGGGAGACCTAGCAGCCTTCCCTCCTACACTAGGCCGGGGACCGCCGGACCGGAAGCTGCGGGGTCTCGGGGCCCCGGTTCGTTCTCGCCTAGCCGCAAGCCGCGGGTGCGCATGCTCCGCGAAGGCCCGCACAGGGCCCGGGTGAACCCTGATAGAGCCATCGCGAGGCGGGGGTAAGCGTAGCTCCAGTGGCGCAATCGGTTAGCGCGCGGTACTTATACAGCAGTACATGCAGAGCAATGCCGAGGTTGTGAGTTCGAGCCTCACCTGGAGCATGACCCTTTTGGATACCCGTCCCCCACTTTTACCACCTTGCTCAGGGGAACGAGTCAGTCTCTCTTTAGTCTCCTCAGTTCCTGTCTCTCACTGCTCTGCTTGCACGTCCTGCTTCGCTGCAGGCAGGAAGCCGCTCTCCTTGGCGCCTCACTCGCTTTCCAAGCTACTTGTTGCCCCCGCGCAGTGCACCGTCCAGCCGCCCGAACCCGTACGTTTACCTGCTGCTCCCTCTTCCTAGGCATTTCCTTTAACGGCACAGTCCCGGGTCCCGGTACAGGGGATGAGGACGGGAAGTCCCGGGGCGCTGCACCGGTGATGGGACCCTACCTGGGCCTCGTCATCGAAAATTCCAGGCGCCCTCTCTACGGGGCGTGCCCGAGTTCCCGGGCCAGTTCCCTGCTGCTGCCCCTTACCCAGGGCCGGGAGCGGCGTGGTGAGCGCTGGCTGTCGGGGCCCGAGCGGGGCGACCGCTCCCGCGAGCTGGGGCCCGAGGCCCAGCGCGGGGCCTCAAGTGAAGCCAGTCGCTCTCCTCCTTTTTAACTATGGGTTGGCCAAAAAGTTCGTTCGGGTTCTTCCGTAACATCGTTACCGAAACCCCGAACGAACTTTTTGGCCAACTCAATGCTGATAATTGGTCGTTGCCGCCTTCCCCCGATCTGCAGAACCCCTAGACCGCGGGCCCTTCTCCCTTACCCAGGCCTCCAGGCCTCCCTGGGCGGATTTGCAGTTTGGGAAAAGTGCCTGGGCGTTTCCCTCCCCCTATCTGTGCCCCTGCTCCCCGGTGTCAGTCAGGAGTGGTGGAATTCGCTGGCAGACGTTTTCTAGGGATATCCTTTCCTGCCTGCTGCACACCCCAGGTTCAGAAGCCCCCCCGGGGAGCAGGAAATATGCCAGCTGGGTTTTGAAATCTTCCAGCACTCGAACATTCTGAGGCAGGGGGGCCGCTTTGTCAGGGGGTGGACGGATGCCCCACATCCTCAGGAGGTGGGGCGAAGTAGGGAGCAAGCTTAGTTGGGATGAGAGGCCTCCCGGACGTGTTCTCCCGAAAGAGTGGTTTCAGCTGTTTTTATGGGCGTGCTAGGAGTTAACTCCTGGGATGGAAATACTACCAGGAGCGGTGAGAAGCAAGACCTAGAAAGCTCGGAGGTAGTGGGTGGAAGGTGAGCTCTTGTCTGTCTCCTCGGCTGCTAATCCCAGCCCCAGAGTCCGAAAGGGGAGCCCCATGCCTCCTGAAATGTGAGAAAATCCTTCCACCTCACCCAACCTGGCTGCCAGTTCCTCGCTGAACCGGATCTTTTCGCTCAGCAGATGGTTGAGTGCTCCCCTTTAGAAATCTAGCCAGCCTGGAAGCAAACATCTATCCCCAGCCCCCACCAAAAAAAAGTTTGCTTAATTTTTTTTAAAAAACAGGTTTATCGAGATATAATTCATATACCCTACAATTCACCCATTTAAAATGTACAATTCAACGAATTTTAGTACATTCACAGATATGTGCAACCATCACCACAGTCAATTTTAGAACATTTTCATCAACTCAATAGAAAATCCTGTATCCTTCAGCTATCACCTCACCCTACCCCTAAATAACCACTAATCTACTTTCTGTATCTACATTTACCTATTCTGGGCTTTCATATGAATGGAATCATGTAATATGTGGTCTTTTGTGACTGGCTTCTTTCAGTTATCCTAATGTTTTCAAGATTCATCCACATCCTACCTTGTATTGGTGCTTCATTTCTTTTTTATGGCTGAATTATATTCCATTATATGGATTCTTCCCAATTTTGAACAATGGAGAAAAGGTTGGCATTTTAAAAACATTTGCTGAAAACTGCTTTTTAAAAGGGAATTAATTTTAAAATGTACAAAGCATAAAAACAGTCACCCTTGCCAAGTGTATGTTTTTAACCTTGAGAGGTTATCACTGCAAGAACTGGTAAGATATTTCCAAGAGCTCAGCCAAGAGCTGAGCACGGAGCAGTTTCCTCACGTGGACAGAAATGCATGAATGAAAGATCATTCTGCCCAGCTTCCTATCCATGTTGGAGTCCCTTCTGCAAAACCCTAGCTCCTATTTGAAAAGTTCTAGCATCAAAATGTCATTTCTTCACAAGATGATGCATTCCACTTTCTGTCAACTCTCATGGTTAGAACATTCTTCCTCTTAAATATTGTTTCTGTCCCTATAGGTTATTGCTGGAATGGTGGTGGTTTGGGGAACTCTTTTTTGGTGAGACGGTCAAGTGGGAAGGTAAGAAGCTAAATTATCAATAGTTGTCCTTGCTCTATTTAATCTGGAAATCACCAGATAGATTATTAGTGGATTATAAGCAAACAAATAGACCACTGGCAGATTTGTAGATCAATGTCTTAATGTGAGGTTGATAGGATTTTTAAAGGTTGTGATGGGTGATAAAGATCAAATCAGAAAATTATGGGAACATGCTATAAAAACCATAAAGTACTCCATATACAGGTGTAAGGAGGTGGCATTCCTGTCACCACAAAACTAGTGGATTAGGCCTATATGCAATGTATGGTGGCTTTAAGGAGGAAGACGGGTAAATATGAGGTGGATGAACCCAGAAGGTAGGTTGAAGTTATAGCTGAACAGCTGTAGACGTCTAGCAGGAGACAAGCCTGACCTACCTACCCGTTGAAATCCATTGAACTCTATTGAACTATGCACACAGGTTGACATTAGCTTTGTAGATGGCTTTGGATGGGCTTATTAAAACTGTGTGTGATACAAAGCTGGAAGGGAGTGCAAATTCAGTAGAATTTCGAGGAAGAGTGGAGCCAATCCAGGGACAAATGTTTCTGACAAATGACAAGATGCAATTTGATGGGGATAACTGTAAGCCTGTGTTCAGTTCTGAGTTCAGTGTGGGGCGTGCCTGGCTTGACAGCTGTTTGCATATAAAGGATCTGGGCATTTCGGATATGCACAACCTCAGTTGTCCTGGCCGTGTGACTCAACTGTTAAGAATGTCAGCCAATTATTAATGCATTACTATATAATGCATTACATGGTGTGGTGTCAGAGATCACAAAACAACAGTCTGTGGAACAAATCTAGCCTCCAGACAGGTTTTGTTTGGCTTTCTAGCACTGACTTGCAAGTGTTTAAATTTTTAAAAATCATTTGCCTGCATATTGGGAGGTTTTACTGAAATGCCTAGATTTCAAGTTTCTAATGAAAAATTAGAAGACTTGGCCATCTCGGGCCCTTATTCCCACATGGCAACATTGGCTGCCCCCTTTGGATGGGCAGGTGATCTTTCGTTTGCCGTGGTCCTACCACTCTCCATTAATCCTCGCAGAGGTGGGTACCAGCTGCTTGCTTTGCTGTTTTCTTAACCCCTGACTCATTTCTCTCATTTGTGACCTACGTTGACTGTGTGGATCAAGGTAGGGAATACTCATGTTGAAGTCAGCCTGAGGGCTGTGATCTGGGTGAACACAGCCCATTTAAAATTCAACAAAACAAAACTCCAGTTCTTTGTTATGGAAAATTTCAAACATACCCAAAATAGAGAAAATAGTGTATTTAACCACCCTGTATCCATCCATTACTACTTTCAAGAATTGTCAACGTTATTTCATCTGTCTCGTTCCCACAACATTCTCCCCTACCCTAGCACTGTCACCAGAATATTTTAAAGGAAACCCCAGCTATGGTTTAATTTAACTTGTAAATACCTCAGTATGTATACCCAACAGGTAACCACTTTTAAAAAGAGCATAACCATAGTACCATTAGCACACCTAACAAGAGTAATAATAGAAACTCTTCATCATCTAACACCTCGTCTGTGTTCAAATGTCCACGCTTACCTCTGAAAGATATTTTTATGGTTGGTTGGTTTGAATTGAGATCCAAACAAGGTCCATGCATTACATTCGATCAATATATCTTTCAAATTTCTTACCAATTACCCACTCCCTTTTTTGATATTTATTGATCTATAGAATCTCCCACAGAATTTGGCTAATTCCATCCTCAAGGAATCCTTTCACAAGCTCTTCAGTCCCCCCTGACAATTAGATCTAGAAGCTTGGCAATATTAAGATGCAATTTTTTCTTTTTGCAAAAATAGATTGTAGGTGGTACTATATACTATTGTATCACAAGAGAGAAAGTACATAATGTCTGGTTGTTCCACTTTTACTGATGTTAATTTTCCTGGTGATTTCAGATGTGGTCAGCCTGGTCCATCCATTACAAAATGCCACATCAGCCTCTAACCTAATGGTTTTAGCATCTGTTGATGCTCCTTGTCTAGATTTATTATTGTATTAAGGATTACTCAACAAGGGTTTTCTAATTCAATTATTCCTTCTGTATTTATAACTGTCATTCTTAAAAACCCCCTTTTTCCATCGACTGTTTGGTTTTCCTAAAGCACAATTCACATAGAAAAGACCAGGTAATATTCCTGGACTCTTTTCCTTTTTCTGCTAGTCTTTAGAATAATGAATTGATGCTCTAACAACTCCCAAAGGTGACCAATTAGTTTTTTTTAATTTTACAGCTTTTTTTTTAAAAGTATTTGACATACAATGAACTGCCTGAATGATGCTGAGTAGCTTTTCTAGTGCTTATTAGATATTCAGATATCTTCTTTGGTGAATTGTCCATTCAAATCTTTTGTCTGTCTTTTATGGGGTTGTTTGTCTTTTCATTATTGAGTTATAAGAGTTTTTGTCTATTCTAGATATAATTCCTATGTTGGAGATATGTTTTGTAAATAATTTCTCCCAGTTTGTGGTTTGAATTTTCATTTTCTTAATGGTGTCTGTTGAAAAGCAAACTTTTAAATTTTGATAAAGTTCAATTTATACAATTTTTTTCCATTATGGATGATACTTTTGGTGTTATATCTAAGAAATTTTTGCCTAACCCAATGTCACCAAGATTTTATTCTGTGTTTTAGCTCTTACATTTAGGAGTTAACTTTTGTATATGATGTGAGTTAGAGGTCTAAATTTTTCTTTTTTTGTATATGGGTATCCAATTCTGGCACCATCTTTTGAAAAGCCTATCCTTTCCCGATTGAATTGCCGTGACACATTGTCAAAAATGAATTGACCTTAGCTGTGTGGGTCTTTTGCTGGACTCTCATTCTATTCTGTTGAGCTATATGTCAGTGTGGTGTTATGTGTGGATTACTATAATCA